TCCCACAAACTTCTGGCATGTGTCTCATTCACAATATGGTTGCGAACATTATCTTCAACCCATTGTCTTATATATCCACATACTTGTTGGTGCTCGAAATCCCAATTTTCATCGGTCACAGTCTCAGGGGAATATGAGCAAGATGGTATGTCTAAACGGAAGAAACTACAACATATGGAAAAGCAAGATGCCCTTTACTGTTTCTTTCTCTGTTCCCTTGGAAAATTTAAGTTTATTAGTTTACTTTGTCCCCCACATTTGTTGAGTGTTGTAATAGGACTCATATATACTTGATTCCATTCATAATATATAGATTAAGTTCACCATCTAAGGTTCCAATCATTATCCAAAACGTAAATGACTAACTCATATCGAATTAGTTAGGATCTTTGTTTAATTTCCGAAAATGATAAAGTATTTGTATCATTATGTTCATTGATTTAACTTGAGGTTGTGCTAATTTTTATCTTTTTTTTTTTTGGACATGTACACTTGGGAGCGCACTTGGAGTTGTGACATAACTCCATCTCTGTCCAAATCAGAGAAGCGCCTACGTTATCGCTTGTGTCTAGCAGCCTTCATCGCATCAATAGTGTCCAACGTTTCCTTCTCGCTTCAAAGTTTTCACGTTCTTTATATTATATATGTGTTATTATCTTTTGGCTAACATTTTACCCATGAGTATTTCCTTTATATTTATGCTATACTTTTATTTTGTTTGGGTTTGTACGGATCAACTAAAAATGGTGGTAAGACGTAGTTGCCACCTCGCTTCCCTCTAGATATTGGGTTTATTATAGTTATTTAGTTTAGAATGACATTTTTGAACTAAGTTTTATTTGTTACTTTTGTACGGATCAACTAAAAACGGTGGTAAGACGTAGTTGTCACCTCGCTTCCCTCTAGATATTGGGTTTATTATAGTTATTTAGTTTAGAATGACATTTTTTCAACTAAGTTTTATTTGTTACTTGATACATTTTGGTGGTTATGAAAACATTTCTTTTTTTTTAAGAAATTTAACTTGGAAATAATGCTTTTGAATGTCATGAATCTATTTTCAGATGTTTTCTCTTTTAATTAAGTGTTTAAAGTGCCACTTTTGGTAGCCTAAAGTGTAGATTTTGGTGGTTCAAAGTGCAGATTTTTAAAGTTGAAAGAAGTGCAGATTTTGAGGTTAAAGATTTCACTCTTTTGAGGGCTTAAAGGTGTGGTATATTAAGTCTCGAAATGCAGCGTTTTGAGCCGCAAAGATGCAAAATTTTGAACTTAAAGGGTGTAAAATTTGAGTGCAAAAATGCAGTTTTTTTAATCTCAAAACGTGCCCCTTTTTTGTGAACTTTGAAATGCAGATTTTGGTAAGAATGCAAACTTGGAGAGATAAACCCTCTCCTTTTAACACCTTTTACAATGCAGATTTTAAAAAAAATATAAAAATGTGGTTTTCTTTTAACTTAAAAAATGCTACTTTTCAAAGACCTAGAGTGCATAATTTTAGTGCAAAAGTAAAAAAAGAGTGCATGTTTGAAATATACATATGTATATAAAACGCTATACTTTGAGATTTGAAAGGTACATTAGTTTGGGGTCCAAAAGTGCTCTAAATGCACTTTTGAAAGGAAGAAGTGCACTATTTTAAGAGGGCAAACCAAATATTATAGTTTTGTTAGAATTATTGTTATACGGCTTAAGTTATTTGTTCCGAGAAGGACCAAATATTTAATAGCTATACTTATCAACACTCACTTAGGCCTTCATGTTAAGGAAAACTTATCATTTAAAATTCCCAAATAAATTTGAAACTAGTTTAAAGGTTAAATCAATTACCTTTAGAAATTATTTATGGCTAAGACATTTACCTTTAGGCATACATATTTTTCCTAAAATAAGTAGGAAAGTAGGCTTATTTATTTAACAAAATAAATGTAACTATAGAATAAAATCCCAATAGTTAGGCCTACTTTATATTATTTTGACATCACCCCTTTATGAAAAAATTATATTTACTATTATTACTATCTCTATTTTATAAATCACATATTGCTAAAATATTTTAATCTCTAAATATGCTATTTTCAAGATTTTAGATATGTCAACGGGTTAAAAATACAAGGTACATTACATATATATGTCATTCACATAAAGGTATGAATTTTATATTAATTTTTACATAACCTATTATTTTTATCTACTATCCCTTTTACAAATGTTACTTTTTTTTTTTTATATAATTTATAAATTCCTACACTTTAACATACACATTATTTTACTACATGTTTACACCCGGTTACTATCTCATTTTATTTTTATTTTCTTTCACGTCTTAATTCTATATATAAATAAAATGACAAATTTTCATATCTTTAAACTCAACATTTATTTTGGATACATTTATATAGGACACATCTATATTTTCAACATATAAAATTGTCATATATTTAAGAATATTTATTTATTTTACTATATGATAAACATACTACTATTGATTTTATTTAATAGACGTATATATGTCGTACCTTGTATTTTACTTTTTTTTAAACTAATGAGATTTACTTATCATTGATTTTAAAAGTAAATAAATAAACAAGTTTTCCTATTTATATTTTCCTAAATTGAGTTTAAGGACTATCTTCGGATAGGCTCTGAGGGATGCTTAACACCTTCCCCTCGAGTAACCAAAACTCTTACTCAGAATCTCACTGGTTTCGCAAATCAAAACAGAGTTTGCATTCACATATTAAAAAATGGTTTTCTAATATTTTCCTTAAAATTTAGGTGGTGACTCTAACACAAAACAAATAATTTTCCAAAAATCAGAGTGGCAGCCATATTATGTTGTGAATTGTTTCGGCTGGTTTGAAATAGGGTGCGACAGTTATGAATCTTCATTGGTGGAGATGAACCACTAACGACATACTTGAGTTCTAAATGAAAAATGGTCGTGTCCACACCAAATTTGGAAGATATAGTAATAATTAAGCCTTCGTATTTGATGGTTGCATCATACAGCACCCCTTCAATATTGTAATTCATGTAATTATCTGTGTTAGAGTACAACTTATTAATCAATTTCCAAAATAAACAGAATGGTGTTCCCTCTGTAATTAAATTACACTGTTTGATATATACCCAATGTTATACCAAAAAATATTCACTAAATATGACGTTTAACAAACGTATTTAAATATACCATTAATTTCACCAAATCATTTACCAAAAAAAAACACCTAAGTTGCTTTTTCTATACGACCTAACATATAACACTCCACCAAAAATAAACTATGACTTTTGGTGTTTATAAAAACATAATACAGAATACCAATTACACGACATAATCTACAGGTTGGCAGAATTGAAGAAACCATGCAATCGCCAGGGCCAGTTTTTTTCTCGAAAACCGCTCTTAGGGCAGGTTCCACGTGGGGTTGGATATCGAACTAAGCGTCAGTAGCTTAGTGCCTTATGGCCCTTTACGACTATACTATAAAGGACAGGGGGGTGTTCGCGGAAAGCATGGGATCAAAAAAGGCAGAATTTACGCAACCTAGACTTGAAACTCTTTCTCGCCTAACTAAGCGTCCCTCTGCTCGTTACGTTAGCAAGCAAGCCATCGTAAGAGACGCAGAACCCGCCAACGCTCGTGAAAACCCCTATTCACTATCAATTAAACGTAATAGCCTACCACAAAAAATTTTAATTTTTTTTTCAAGAATTAAAAAAAAGATTTTTTTTTTCACCAAACCATTTACCAATGCAGAATCACGCAGTACGAATTTTATACTAAACCACAAAATCATACAAATTAAACCAACGACTAAATACCAAAACATAGCACTGATGTGCTGCTTATTAACAATGTCATTTACTATAAATTAAATCACTCAATATACCCAAATTCAATCTATAAAAATGATTTATAAACGACCTTATACAGATTGTAGGACAAAAACAAATTCCCAACATAATAAATTATAAGATAACGATCATGAAAAAATATTCCAAATATAATAAATAAAACAATTAAAATTATCACGAAAAAAAACTCCAATTCAATCGTGATTTTGCTCAAATACCTGAAGCGTCCCATCATCCGTTGTGTTGAATTAGAATTGAAAAATTGTTGATATCCATGTTTGAACCGTCGATCAGAATTGGTCGAAAGAGAGTTTTATTCTTGTTAAAAACCCTTTTTTTGATGAGAGAGAATATATAACAAATCTGAGTAAATGTAGAAGCTAAAAGAATAGGAGATAATCATGGAATATGAGAAAATCATGCTTAGTTGATATTTCGTTACAACATCAATAATTTGGCATATTGAGTCTGAAATTTTGTGTTACATTCTTGCATTCATTTTTTTCCTGCTTTGCACACATTAAATCAGCTTGCATCTACTCTTGATTCTCTACCCTGCAAAGGTCTGTGTGTTGTTGTTGCCTAAAACTTGATTGAAATGAAAGTGTTCTCTAATTATTTTTGCTCCTTGTTTATTTTCTGTAATCTTCTTATGCTTTTAGTCGAGCCTGTAATTCTTTTTGGTAAATAAATTAAATGATTTTAATTTTATTCAAATTGACTAAAATATGTACCTGATTAATGAAAATTTCAGGTGAATCAAGCAATAGTATCATCATGAAAGTTCACATAACAACATTCAACCGCATTGTGTGCCTCAATCACAATTAGCTACATATCACTTTTGATGAAGTCCTTCACAGGTTTGGAAAACGTTTAGTTTCCAGTTGTATGTGAATCCTTGCAGAATGTATTCAGTGATAGTGATACAGCCAAATACTTTTGGAAACTCCTTTGGAATTAATCACCGAGGGGGAGATGTTCATAGAATATTCAGTACTTGGTGGAACTTAAGCACCACCAACAATGTACAGAGTATGATGCAACAAATTACCCCTATTTGCATTTCTTGGGAAATCTGGAAAAGCTGGACAGCTTGTAAATACGGCGATCATAAAAAATTTGTGACTTCAAGGAGGTGCATATATCTTGTGGAATATCAAGGCAGCCATTTCCACTGTCTTTCCAAACTGTGACACTACAGGTACATGGACTGAACTTTGTGCAAGAATTGAAAGGTTCAAATTATTGTCGGTGGATGAAACCTGAGATAGGTAAGATCAAAGAAAATACAGATGGGAGCTTCATCCATGAAAATGTTATGGAATGGAAGAAACTAGAAAGAAAAATTAAAGAGAGAATAAATGATAACTCTTTGTATTGATTCTTGCATTTTTTCAAATAAAAGAGAATATCACTATTTATAAGTAATTGTGTAGAATAAAATATATTATTTTCCTTTTAGATAAAGAAAACTAAATATTTTGCAATTAATGTAAACCCTAGACTTGAAAGGAAATAAAATATTATAGAATATTTTTAAACTAAAAAGAAAAAAATAAAAAGATTCTACCAAATTCCAACATTTCCCCTCACAAACTCAAGTTGGGTGTATCTAATTTGAGTTTGAACACTTAGTTATTCTTGAGAATATCTTCTTATTTTCATGTTTTTTCCCAAACTTCTTTTGCCGTCTCAGGTTTAATGATTTTAGAGAAGATTAAATCTGCAACTGAATTTTGAATTACAATTTTGGCTTTGTATATTTTGGTTTTCCCTTCTGAGTGAAGTTTGATTTTAGCAGCAGAATAATAAGATTTTTCAGAGAGTGGTTGTATGACTTTATCTTCCATTATAGTTTCCCACAAATCATAAGCCTCAAGATAAGACTTCATCTTAACTGCCAAGATTTGATAATTTTCACCATTGAAGGTTTGTGGGGCATTGAAAGAAAGAGTATTGTTTGTCATGGTTTGAAAATAAGATTTAAAATAGTATGGATTAAAATTGGTTAAAATTGGCCCTGCGTTAAAAATAAAAGCACGGATTAAAATTGGGTTGAAAATATAGTGGTTGAAAGTTCTTCTTCAATTAACTCACAAATCCATTAAGATCAATGGAAGACTTTGATACCACTGTTAGATTGTTTAGGTGGGATGTCCGATAAACGCACACCAGGGTATTTGCTTTCAGGTTTTCTTGTCACCGGGATTTTGGCTCCCTGACCATCCACAACACTATCTTGAACCATAGTCTGCAAACCATAGTGTTGAGGAACACGGTGCGCAGCAAGATGAAGGTAGGAAGTCGGAAAATGTGGGTACTCAAACTGTTGCACATCGGAACTTTGCAAGAATTTCTGAATGTCGAGTTCCATTCTTAGAATGGTGAGACGATGACGTGGGTTTTGAAGGGCTTCAACCAAGAAAGGATCTGCCATTGACAAATAAGCAGAAGAACCCGAATCCATTGTTAAAAAAGTAAAAACTCCCTAAAAAAAGATATGTATAGAAGGATGGGTATATATGTGTCCAAAAATTGGAATACAAAAGGGTTTTTTTCTTCTTTTTTTTCCTTCTTTTTACTTCAACCCCAAAAGGGATATGAAGAAGAAGAGATTTTCTTTGAAGAACTCTCTCTTTCTCTTAGAGAAGAAAAAAAGGAGAGAATTTTTTTTATAGCTCTTTGTATTGATTCTTGCATTTTTTTTCAAATAGAAGAGAACATCACTATTTATAAGTAATTATGTAGAATAAAATATATTATTTTTCTTCTAGATACTAAGCTAAAAGGAAACTAAATATTTTGCAATTAATGTAAACCCAAGACTTTAAAGGAAATAAAATACTATAGAATATTTTTAGACTAAAAATAAAAAAATAAAAAGATTCTACCAAATTCCAACAGAAAACTGTAGAGCTGGCATAGGAGGAATCATTAGGATGCTATTGGTAACCTTATCATGGCATTGTGAGTCTCTGCTCAATGCAAGACCAACAATCAAGCGGAAGCTATGACAGCATTATATGTTACCAGATGGTGCAAGCAAGCTAGTTATAACAAATATGACTTGAAACTTGATTCTATGTTAGTGGCCAACATGATCAAACTTGATTCGGTTTTTCAGTTTGATTTTGCACTATTCGATTTGGGTTTTTTGATTTCTAGTTTTCAAGAAGTGTAATCCAATCCGAACCAAAATAAATTTGGTTAGGTTTGGTTTTTCTCTTTTCGGTTTGGTTATGCAATAATTAGAAATATAATCAAAGTTATATTTGCAATTTTATATATATATAAGCTTAATAGTATATCAATTATAGATGTCCAAACATAAAACACAATACTTAAGAGTGTATTAATTATAGATGTCCAAACATAAAATATATAAAGAGAGAGAGTGTGTTATTGTCTTTCATTATGATTTAGTTTATATTATATGTTTGGACATCTATAATTGATATACTCTTAAGTATTGTGTTTTACGTTTTACATGTGATTTATATTAGAAGATATATTTAAGAGGTTCAATATTACTTCTCCTATATATATATATATATAATTCGGTTTTTTTTTATTTTTCGGTTTTATTTTTTAAATCCAAAACTAAACAAAGTAAACTATTGGTCCAAACCAAAAAACTAATCCAATTTAGAATTCATTTTGATCTGATTTTGTTTTTCGGTTATATCCAAATAGTGTATGCCCCTAATCAGGCCATGAATGGGGTAAAAGTAAATATTTCCCACTGCTATAGAGAAGCCAACCAAATAGCTGACTTCTTTGCTAAACAGGCCTCCTAAAGTGGAAGTGGTACCTTCTATTATTCTTTTCATCAATTTCCTAAGGGAAAATGCATAAGTATCCCCCAGCCTATGCCCAAAAATCCCTGAGACACCTTTACTAAGGTCCTATTACCCCCTCGAACTTATTTTATATATAATTTTCTACCCCTTTTCGGCACTACGTGGCACTATCCTTGAAAAAATTGTCAACACGCGCTGGACCCACAATATAATGCCACGTAGACTGAAAAGGGGTAAAAAATTATATATAAAATAAGTTCGAGGGGGTAATAGGACCTTAGTAAAGGTGTCTCAGGGATTTTGGGCATAGGCTGTGGGGTACTTATGCATTTTCCCATTTCCTAAAGTGGTGAAGGTACTATTTCTACTAGATAAGTGGCAACTTCCTAGCATAAGGAGAAGATATAATTTGTTTTGTTAGTTGAACCATTGTATTTTATAGTATGAAAGTCTATGTCATCTTAGTCTTTCTGTAGATTGTTTAGTTCATCCTCGTTCTCTGAGGCTAGGTCCATGTCCCCCTCTGCTTTTGTAACTTTTTGGATGTTACAGACATGGTAGGGATCAAGTCTAATCCACCCCACCCCCCACCCCACCACACACACACGGGGTTAAGGTGATGACTTAAATTTTTATTTTTAAAAAAAGAAGATACATATCACTTGAGATAAACAAACAGTACAAATCTATACTTTCCAAGAAAGGCCAAAAAGGCAATCATCATAATACTTTAATGTCATATGGACAAAGGTAACATTTCATGACCTAATTATCAGAGAAGAGTGTAGCTTGTAGATCTGCCCATCTTCACAGATTTCAGGGGGAAAAGCCAATGAAGAAACTCCAAAACATGTATATAACATCAATAAGGCAACACGATAAAAAGCTTCACGATAATCCAAACAACCATAACATTTGGCATGTCATAATGGTAAGATAACAGGAACAAATAGTTATTAGTTACAACAAGTTCAAGTTTTTCATCAACAGTAATCAAAAAGCTTAATTATGCTAACATTTCTGGTAAACTGAACAGAAATCTTACTTTTTTGAAGTCAACTTGCAATCTAATCATAGAAAGCTCACTACTGAATAAACATAATTATAGAATTGGTAGAAGATCTTGGGCAACATGTCAGTTTATCAGCAAGTTGAAACAAATATTTGGACCCGCAACTGCTCTCCGACTTTGTTCTCTTTGATATGATGACGAACTTCTTCAAAACCTTTGCATTTGTTAACAAAAATTCTGAAAGTCTGTAAAGCTTGTCCAAGCCCCAATTCGTATGATCATTCAAGTATGTCCTTAAGGGGATGACAATCTTAACATTCTTGAGGTTGGGAAACTCGAAGCTTGATATCCAATTCTGCAAACCAATGGATTCTCCTTTGGCCAAATATCTTAACTCAGATTGGCAGCGGTTACCCATAAACTGGAGACAGAATACAATCAGGATAAAATGCACATGAGCCTAATATAATTGCAGAAAACTGACAAAAATGATTTCACAGAGTAGAAAGTTCTGATAGAAAAGAGAATATTGAAATCAACGAATATTAATGGTACTTTCCACTTGGGAAATCATTTAAATGGTTGTTCCTATGATAAACATTCATGGTATAGGACTATAGGTAGCCCAAGCAGAGATTGAAAGCGCAACAATCCTTTTCGCTCCGGGGCTCATTTGCCACGAAGAAAGCAACAACACTGACCATATTGAAGTATTAAGTGTCCCTTTACAGTGACAAAAGAGAAGTTGCTCACTGATAATGAAAAATGAGTTTTTCGAACCTACTATAGAAGGCTAACTCTAAGAAACCTTTTGGTTTTCTCCACAAAAAAGTCTAACTACCAAGTAATTCCTCTTCCTCTGCAAGACAGTCCATTCTATCCTTTACACATTGCCATCTCATCTTCCCATTTCGCTTCGTGGCGACTGGTTCTTTCATTTATTTGTCTGATGAACACTTCCTCTCATAGACTGCTAGGCGATTCCTCTATCAAGTCATAACATATTTCTATTGCAAGGAATTTCTTAGACTTCCATTGATCTACATATTCAAATTGTTGGTTGTGTCGCATATCTTTTTGTAAAAGCATACATAGACAACCCCAAAAGCATGATAGTTTGATTTGGACCTCAAACTCTTGGTTTGCACCTCAAAGCATTACCAAGTTGAACATAAATATTTTTTCTGACCAAAAGCATTATCCTCACGGCAGATTTATATTCTTGGGGATGGCTAACTTTAGCGGGGAAAATGGTTTCCACGGAACAGTGGAGAAGAATTATTTGCCCCCGTTATTTGAAGAAATAGTAAGGGCATTTAAGAAATATAAACAATGGGTAGGGTGCCATGGCTTGAAGAATTTATCAGTGTCCATGGGATCAAGATCAACAAGACTTTAAAGCAATCTTTAGGTCCATCAAGAATGCGGTTTGATGAAAACAAAACTATTTATTCAATATCAACTCATTGCATAGTATTAGTCCTTACTAGTTGATCCAGATAAATGAAAAGAGAAGCAGGGAATAGAAGGGGTATGTTCTTCAAGGACAACAGATATCTTCGTAACACACATGTGACCAACTACCATTACAGAGAACACTGGAAGTGCTCCATTCTTGTAAATTGGAAGGACTATTTGTGCTCTAATTTATACATATACGGGACCATTTTAAGTACACTCCCAGAGATATGGGACTATTTCAGGCCTTTTCTTAGGGTAAGGTTGTTAAAACTTCATAAAATGAACAGATGCCAAAAGAAGAGAGGAAGTTACCTCAACTGTAGTAAAGTCTATGTTGAGTGTCTCCACATGCGGCAAGGCTCACAAAAGGCCAGCTACCCCAAACAAATTAAGCTTATCCAGATCCAACTCCTCTAGCATTAGATATTTGCATTTCATTTCGGGAATCTGTAATCCTTCGAGTTGCAACATGCACATGACCTGCAGCAGTAATCCCAATGTAACTAGTAAGGAACGGAGAAAGCAACATCAACAAAAATAAATTACTCCACCGAAGAGAGGCAGTGTTCTGAAAAATCAAACCATAAAACATATTTTACACCACTCTGCTTATATATTTATCCAAAAAACAAAACCATCTGTTAGATTATGTGGCATTTTAACATTACTATTATGTAATATAAAGAGTCTCATATGTACTGCATTTTTCATCCCTTTTATGTTAGATCTCATTTGGAGTAACTAATTGACAATTACTTCTATTGGTAACACTTATAACCTATATATAACTCCTTATTCTACCTCTTTATGCCTAGTAACTTATGTAAGCTCTAAGACATTCATCTACCCAATTTTCTACCCCATATTCTTCCTATTCATTACAAAGAAGAATTCCTCACCTATAAATAGTGGTGGTCTTACATTATATTGTGTACAACAAGAAAAATATAGAGCGAGTAAAAGTTAGCAGAAAAGAGAGTTTTATTCTATGTTGCTCGGACTCTTTCAAAATGTCGACGGGTGCTTGTTGGATCCTCCAAAAATAGTGTATTTTTGAAGGATCCGCATTGGTGCGGCATCATTTTCGGAGAGTCTGGGCAACTTGGGTTTTATTTAGTTGAAGAAAGATGTTTTTTTGGTAGAGCTTTAGACTAAACACTTATCCAAAGTTTGTTGAGTTACACATTGTGGTTAGGTTATTTTATTGTGGAGGGGACACGTCAAGAATATTACTACTGGAGTGCTAAAAATTTTTGCTGCTGTGGACTTGAATTTTATTTTCTTTATTTTTATTTTCAATTGTAATTGTAACTTCACCAACAGCTTTAAGGAGACTCAATGACAACAGTTTAAGAATTCGTGGATGTCAAGATGGGAGATCTTACCATCCATTTCAGCTCAATGGTACTCATTTCAAGAGAAGGAATGGTAAGTACTTTTTACATAAGTATTCTCAATATTTCTTATGTGTTAACTAAGAAGAATCCTAATAAAGAAGATTGTACCTTCATGAATGATGATGAACTTATTTCTTTCCAAGAGAAAGTGGAAAAGTTTGATAATGATTCCTACAAGTGTCGATATTATCTTCTTAATTGTCTATCTAGTAATTTTATAATTATTATGATATAACTTGCTCTAATGCAAACAAAATTTTGAAAGTATTGTAGAGTAAGTATTATACCGACTAGGATGGAGCCAAAAGAAATGATGCAACTAGGTTTTTTTCATTTCCAAATGGTGGACAAAATATCAGTGGTAGATTAAGCTCAAGACTTTATAATGATTGTGGGAGAGATCAGATCCAAGGAGATAAAAATTAGAGAGAATCTTATTGTTTGTGGCATATTATATAAGTTTCCACCTTCTTGGAAGGAATTTATAAAAACAGGTGCCACATACAAAAGAAAACCTCACTTGAGATGTTGATAATACAAATCCACATAGATGAGGAGGCAAGAGGCCAAGATTTGAGTGCATTTTTCCTGTAATGATTTATGAAGGTTGAGTCTAAAAAATCTTAATGAGAATATGTAGCTTGTTTGAATGGGATGTTAAACGTACTACAACACTCTCGACAGATTTCACCTATTGAGTGGGAAAATAGGGTGTCCTATGAGAATTGAGTTTATTCTCAAAAATACTCAATGACTATTGGGATAACACAAGAACGTAATGTGTTGGATATTAAAGCTCATGTCAACACCTTGATAAGCAGAGATATTTCATTTCCCCTTAAGCAATCACAGTTCAAGTCCGAGACAACTATGACTCTGGAGTAAAAATTATTGTTTTACTGAGTAAAGGTTCAATACAAAGCACACTTTCACTATGCATAATAGTCTACCTTCAACTGATATACTCTCTTATCTAATATTAAAATGAGTAGGGGATTGTTAGATTACGTGGCATTTTAACATTAGCATTATGCAATATGAATAGTCTCATATGTGTTGCATTTCTCATCCGTTAATGTTAGAGCTCATGCGGAGTAACTAATTGACAATTACTTTCTATTGGTAGCTCCTATAACACAATAACTCATTATTCACCTGTTATTCTACCTCTTTATGCCTAATGACTTATGTAATCTCCAAGTCATTTATCTACTCAATTTACTATCCCATATTCTTCCTATTCATTACAAACGAAGAATTTCTTACTTATAAATAGTGGTAATCTTACATTATATTGTGTACAATAAGAAAAATATAGAGTGCATAAAAGTTAGTAGAAAAGATAGTTTTATTTAGTTGAAGGAAGGTGTTCTTTCGATGGAGCTTTAAACTGAACTCTTCTCCACCGTTTATTGAGTTATACATTGTGATTGGGTTATTGTATCTCGGAGGGGACAAGTCAAGGAAATTACTATGGACTGTGGAAAGTTTTCAATTGTAATTTCACCAACACCATTTAAATATTTTAAGCTACATAAATGTAATAAAAAATAAATGGTTTCTCAAAGAAATAATTGACTTCAAAAAGTTGACAAACAGATTGCAAAAAGGCCCACAAGTTTATGTAATTGATCTTGTTGCTTTTGTGAAATTTATTCTCAATTGTAAAAAAATATTAAGAAACGCCACTATCTAATTATCAATGAGGGAAAACACGGACTTAAAAGTTAGAAACAAACCTCTATAAACCAAGTTCCTATTGTAAGCTCAATTGCACAACTCAACTTTTGTAGATAATCTTGGACGAGGGTCCCAAAAACTTGATGGGAATCCTTACAACTATCTTCCTCATCATCGATATCTTCTTCAAGAAGAGCATGTACATCTTTGGTACATCTAGTGTAGAACGTTTTGCATTCACCACAGAGGACACGTCTACCAGCCTACATTCCTGATGAAATCCTGAAATCTCCAAATTATGAAGATATGGAGCATGAATTTCCAAGAAGTGATCATTCCCAATACTAAAATACAACAAGCCTTTCAAATTTAGTCTCTTCATTTTTAAGGAACTAATTTCCAAGCGACTAAAGCCCCCAACCATATCAACTTCCATAGTTTCTAAAGCAGGACAACCAGACAATAATTTCACAAAGTGGTCATCGGATAACACCACATACTCCAACTTTATATTCTTTAAGAGACTTCCACTTAATAACCGCTCCATAATCAAAGCAATAAAATGTCAAATGTAAAGTTACCAATGACGAGCAGTAGTAGAAAGATTGAGGCAATGTGCAACCATTACTATTGGAACTTGAGCGGTATACAAAATCTTCCACATTTTTTTCAACAGCAATACTAAGCCATCTACTAACATGTGATTTGTATGGATGCAGGTAGCTGCAGCCAATCTCTAATCTTTTTTATTTTGGAAGAAAGGGAACGAGCTAATACATAGTCTACAAAGGATACAAAGTCTTTTGTTTTCAGATAATTTTTACGAGTGAAATTGAAGCTATCAACATAAGGCCAAACATAGCACCACCTCTTTGAGCAGAGGCGTATCCAGGATCTCAAGAACATGGGGGCACCATTATCTTCAAAATAGACAATTAATTCAATTATATAAATTTTACGGTAAGAACAAGTTGACGAGCAAGTAGGTAGTAGCAATCTTTATATAGTAATATATTAGTAAAAAACATCATTCACTTACAATTGTCCTCGACGAGTTTTCATATTTTGAAAACGGTCAATAATGGCATCATTACTTACATTTTTAAATATACTACGCTCTATATAGCAAACTAAACAACCATTCAAAAGATCTTCATCCATCCTATTACGCAAATCATTCTTTATGTACTTCATTGATGAGAATGCTCTTTCCACGCTTGCGGTAGCAACAGGAATAATCAAAGTTAGCTTCACAAGTAGATATACAAGTGACCAAGTTTGATCTAGTTTTGTCTCTATCATCACTTTTGCAAGATCCTTGATTCCCTTCAAGTTGAGAAACTTGCTATCACACTTTTGAGCATAGACAATAAAATCATCAAGTTGAAAATTGAGTTCCCGAAGCTCTTTATCACCAAACTCACTTGGGTAGTACTCGGCTAGTTTCATTATCCTATCCTTGTGAAAATTAGCAAATGAATCAACCGGACTCAAACTAGCCATACCGAGGAGCAAGTCACTAGTCACCACATCAAAACGATTATTGAGTTCTTGAAGTGCCAAATCAATGACGGCATAAAATACTTCCACACGAAAGTGATGCAAATATGAAATATTGGACCTCTTACGCTT